TCATAAGTCCAAAAGAATAATTATATAAAATAACATGACATACAATTTAAGGTGCTTATAACTATATCTCTTAATATACCATTAGTGGGTTGAAATAAACATAAATATAATTTTTTAGTTGTCTTAAACCTCTATATCATAACAAATAAGGATTATATATTTATATTTTGTAGATATATGTGAAAGTAAGTTGTAAACCACTAATAATATAAGTCATAAACTAAAACCCATTTCATACAAATTTATTTTTATTTTTATTTTAAACCACTAATAATATAAGTCATAAACTAAAACTCATTTCATACAAATTTATTTTTAATGCTTCTTAAACAATTATTATGTTTCATTGTAAATAATTAACAAATGTCTCGAATGATCATATTTTTTAGTTTCATATATATGCATTTAATGATTATATTTGTCATTTGTACTAGTAAACATGTGTACAATCCTAAAATTATAGGAATATACCTTAATTAAATGACCTTTCATATCGATAGTGTGATATCTATACTATAGACACTACTAGAATAAGTTTTCAAATTCTTTCATATATAATGTATAATCATTATAATATAAGTGATTTTTTTATACTTTATACTCATCAAATTTAATATCTTATGTAACATCTTATTTTAGTAGCATAAAACTCCTAAAAAAGTTACAAAGATGATAATTACTAAGGAAAAACTAAATATTTATGAAGTAGAAGATTTGACACCTAAAGAACAAAAACATATCTATGCTGCTACTTCACCCTTAATCTCGCACAAAAAGATGTTTCCCCTAAGCTCACACCATTTGAGGTGATCATTGCAAAAGAGAAAACACACACAGATAGACAAAGAAAAAAACAAGGGTAAACTAATAATAAAAAGAATTCAACAAGATATATTAATATTATATCATATATCACATTTCACCCAAAGTAAAACAACCATCTTAATCCTGCCATAGTCCTAAACTTGACCATCAAGATATATTATGAATGTCAAACTATGGTGGTGTAGTGGTAATACTGTTGGGCCCCCTAAGCTACCACACAAGGTTAGTCTGTAAACAAGAGTCTTTGGCCAAGGTAAAGCCCATAGACTAGGACCTCCTATTACTTTCACCACATGCTCACCCCTCTCTACTTGAAAATGGATGACCATTAGAGTGTTAGGATAAACCACCAATACTTAGCTCCATACATTCATACAAACAACACAATGATAACCACGCATAAGAATTTCCTCCTTGGAATTCTCTTTTCCACACTTTTCCATCCACATATATAATCTCATGTAAACACATTAAGAAATCTCATGAAATCAATGCACAACCATTAAAGTAAAAGAACCAATTCAAGTAAAATTACTAAACAACCCAAAAACCATCTAGACAAGACTTACAAAGGTGACTCTCGGTGCCTTAACTACTGGAACCTGGCGCTCAGCGCCAGGGCCACTGGAAAGTGGCGCCCAAGCACCCCGACAGATGCACTCAACACCATATCAGCTGACAACACTTATGTTTTCATGGTTTGATGCACATAACACTTATTTCTATTGATCAAATTGGATCTTTAATCATTAGAGTAAATGTGAAAACACGTTTATAGGTAATACATGTACTCCCTTGATCATTAGACCTAAAACTAAGTGCATTAAACCATTTAACAACTCCAAAAGTACACAAACTCAAATTACACCTTCTGACACTAAATTCTGCAAACTAAAAGTTTGGACAAGTCCTAATGAACTCAATAACATATTCCAAAACCTCATTTTCATCTCAGCCTCTGTACTTTAAGTTTTCACTAGTTAGAACCTCCAATTTGGACTAAAACGTGACGGAATAACAACATAAGAACCAAGTATTAGATCCACCTCAGATTTGGCCTAACTCAACCCCTAAACAAGTATTAAATGACTTAAGAACTTACCCTAAACTACTGGTTTTCCCATCTAACCATTTTCTCAAAAATTCCATTGCCACAACCCCTTAAAATACACTTTAAACAACATTGTAACACATCAAAATGACTACCACCCCATTCTAAACTACCTATCAACTTATTCTCATAGTAAACAAGTTACAAAAAACCAAATTAACAGATCTAAATCATAAATCCACACCTTAGACCAATATTTCATTAAATCATCTCTCAAACCTCCATTATAGACCAAAATTAACCTATAATTCTACTTATACCTTTCCTATTAACATTTTAACCAAAATTAACACCAATAACATCATACCAATTGCATTCACAAGGTTACTCCAAGTTCACACATAAATTACACAGAGGATCAAGCATCATTCATTCATTATTCTCAATCAAACATAGTTAACACCAAAACAAGCATTTTATACATAGCCAACCCTATATACAACAACATACATACCCCCAGAGTCACAATTTCATACATTATAATTTAATTGAAATACAAACATTAACTTTCCTTACCTTTTTAGAAGACCAAATTGTTTTAGAAGTCCCCTTCACAGCTTAAAGAGCTCTATTTGTACCTATAGACAACATAATCATGATAAAACCACTGATCAATAAAGAACCTAAAAGAAGACTCAAAACATACATGTGACAGAGTGAACCCCAACATGCATTGGAAAATGTGAAACCAGAGAAAAAGCATAAACAAACTTATTCTTTTTGAGAAACTGATCAGGTAGAGTTGAAAATCTCACCGCGAAGATCACACTAAGACTTCTGATCTTCAAAAACATATAAACAAGGTGCAAAAACCCTTAAAGAGAAGACATAAGACTCTAGAAAAGTATTTCTAGAGAGATGATGTATTTTAAAATAATGAAACTCGTTTATAATAATTTCATTTATATTAAAACCTTTTAATATTAAAATAATTGAGTCTCATTATTTTTAACCTATTACTCCTAAAATACCATTTTTTAAGTCTTCACATCTTATATATCTCATATTTTCATGTTAGTAAAATATTGCCTTTAGAAAATATGTTAATGGTCTAGTCAAACAAATTTTTATAAAGTTTTTGTTAGTTAACTCACTTTTTGCCTTATTATTTTTTTAAAACTTTTGTTAAATACTCGTTGCTCTCAAATGAAAATTTTTAATGTAACAAACAAATGTGTGAAATGAGTGCATTTTTTACATTGAAAAACATCATGTCCAACTTTACAAACCATTTTCCATTTTCTTTATTTGATAGCCTATGGTAATCAATTTCAAATTAGATAAATTTTATTTTTGTAAGTTTTTGATTTCTAACAATATATTTTATTTTTAAATTAAATTTCAATATGTACTTAGGCTTAAATAATTTTTTAGTCCTAAATGTATTCGAGGTTTTCTTTAGTACACAAAACAAATTTTGTTAATATTAAGTACCTAATCACTTAAAAAAAACTATAAAGATGCTTGTTATTATTAAGTCTTCTCCAGCTGATGACATAACCATTATCTTTCTAAGTCACTCTTCCATATTACTTCCCTATTATATAATTTTATAATTTTATAATTCTATTTCTATAATTCTGTAATTCTATAACTCTATAACTCTACAGTTTTATAGTTTTATAGTTTATTGTTTTATATTTTTATAAATTTATTCATATCTATAATAATATAAAAATAATTTATCTTATTAACATATTACTTCTTAGCATACCTCTTAATTTTTGTAATATTAATTTTTTAGTTTAATGTTTTGGTAGGTTTTTTTTCCGTCTAGAATCTCAAATAGGTTCCCTAATTATTTGGTATCTCAATTGGGTCTTTAATTTTAAAAAATTGAAACAAATAGAGACTTGCCGTTAAATTGGACAAACACTTTTTAAGAGGTCTTACGTGACATGGTGACAGTCACCTAAGCTAAACCTTCTCGCCTAGACGAGATATGCAGAAAATTGAAACACAAGTTTTGATGATATGTTCGTTTTGCAAAACTTTTGTTTCAATTTTCTGCATATCTCGCCCAGGCGAGAAGGTTTAGCTTGGGCAAAAATACTGTCAGCATGCTACGTAAGAGTCTCTTAAATGGTGTTTGTCCAATTTGACGGAAAATCTCTATTTGTTTCAATCTTTTAAAAGTAAAGACCCTATTGAAACACGTAGGGAATTTATTTGAGATTCTGGAAAAAAAAAAAGACCTAGAGAGACGTTATCTTAGATAAGTTTTCTCGTACTTCTTAGGGGATTTTTTTTCTTTATAACTTTCAAGTACTTTTCTTGTACACTCAATTTAAATTATAAATTTTTTATAATATTAATATATATTTTTATTTCCGTCTGTCTGCAATTTAAATTTCTTAAATAGTATCATAAATTTAAATAAGATCATATATTAAGATTAAAAGTAAATATATATTAGTATGTAAGATAATAAAATTTAAATTTTAAATCAACAAAATAATATTTAAGGACCACAACAAAAGTTTGATTAATTCTGGTCTTTCTCTTACCTCTGTTTTCAATCTACTTTACCATTTTTTTCTTTTTTTTTAAGTTATTTCATTACACTAACAAAAACGTTAAATCAATGATTAATGAATTTAAAAATATTGTTCTCAACTTTTCAGCTTTAAACAATAAATAACTTAAATTTTTACCAGTAAATATTCTGTAAAAAATAACTGATGACACTAATTTGAAAGAAAGTAGGAGAGGTATCCAGATTTTTAACATTATTTTTTATTATTTTATATAAAACTTTGTAATTAATCAAATCAATTATTTATAAGTTTTATATTTTATTTTTAAAATTAAAATTAACACATAATTAATATCTTATATATAAATTAAAATTTGAAAGTTTATCTAAACTCAATAAAATAATGTTAAAATTTTAATTCCGTACCGCCGTCTTTTATGGAATCGGGATGCGGTGATATAAATCCAGTCGAAGCCACAAACTTTGATACCTAATTCTAACATGTGGTGTCATATTAAGTAATAAAACAAAATATCAAGAAAAAATAAAATATTAAGTAATAAAATAAAATATTTATTTGCTTAATTTTGTTTTTGGGCAAGGTTGATAAATGTTACCTTTGTTTGCATTTATCTCCTTAAAACCCGACCTCGACGCTTGTGTCTCAGTCTCAGTATCACTTTAGCTTTCAGTTTCAGATCTCTCTTTCATCACACCAATTTCCAGGTCAAATTCCAATCTTCAATCTTTTTGCTTTTCTCTGTAATTTTCGTTCCCCTTTTCTTCAATCTCTTACTTTCTTTTCCACTTTCATATCTCGAATTTTATGTAAAACAACTCCTCCTTTTAATTCTTGGTTTGTCGAAAGTCTGTATTTTTTTCCTGTAAATTTTGTTTGAATGCATGTTGGAATTTGAATGTTGGTATGGTTTGGATCTTATGCTCGTCGTTGTTGTCACTAATCTGATTTTATTATCAATGTTTGTCCCATGGATTTTGAAAATTTCAAAACATTCTTACCCTTTTAAACTGGGGTTAGGGTAGGATGATTTTACATGTTTCGATAAGTTTATTTGGTATCCACTTAACTAGGTTTTTCCCTTAGCTTGAAATATTGGATGAGAAATGTTGGATAAGCGAGAATTTCTTGTTCAAAACCTATGTACTAAGAAACTGTTAATTAAACCTTTTATATTAGGCTATGTGTTAAGATCTTACAAGATTGGGCTAGCGTGCATTACTGCTGTTTTTATGTTATCTCATTTGATGTTTTTGTGGCTTTTGTATAGGATTTGAAACATGGCAGATTCAAAACCAGGATTGAGGAAGCCAGTGTTCACCAAGGTTGAACAGCTTCGCCCAGGAACAAGTGGGCACACTTTAACCGTGAAGGTGGTCAATGTTAAGATGGTGATGCAGAAAGGTCGCTCCGATGGTCCTCAATCCCGTCAAATGCGAATTGCTGAATGTTTGGTTGGTGATGAGACTGGAATGATCATATTTACTGCCAGAAATGATCAAGGTATATATATCACTGCTCTCACAAAGCTTCCCCTAGATACATGTTTTCCTTACTGCATTGTGACATTGTTATTGTCATCGTATTATTTTGTATTACACTCTTGTTGGATTGATCTTTCATTGACTGGAGGAAGGGGTGTTCGCATGTGATTTTGCATGGAGTGATCACATGTCATGAGTCAAGTGTTTTTGATATATTTGTGGTTATCTTGAATCCTTGTTTAGATGTTTGTTACTTCTTGTATTTTGTCTGTGGTCATGTATCCGGTGCTGTATTTTGTCAAATTCATGGCCATTTGTAATTACTGTTTGGGGTAGACTTTGTGAACCCCATGTTAAGGGAAGATGCAGATGCAAGATCGCCTTCGTTGTCTGCATTGAAATTTGAAAAATACCTCAATCCGGCTCTTGATTTTATCCTTTGGCTGAGGCCTGAGAAGTGTAGAAGCAAAAGAGAAACTGATTCAAATGGTAGCCAGTTTTTAAAGAATTCATACAGCACTACACAGACGTATAGACTATTGAGAGAGAGCAGGATAGAGAGAAAAGAAAGCTGCAGTTATGTAATGACTTCTCAGTTTTGAAGATTTCAATCCTATTAGTTTTCTTAAAACCTACCACTGCAGTATTTACACTGCTATTTATAGCATTAACTCCTAACTACCCAACTGGCCCAGACAAATGCCTAAATTGGGTTTGTTATCTTACTACCTCTCACCCCCACCCAGAAAAAAGATCCACCTTGTCCTCAAGGTGAAGGAGATGATTTAAGGCCTGCTGCAGATTAGTTTCTGCCTCCCAGCTGTCTTCACACGGAGGGGGTTTGTACCACTTGATCAAGTCTTCTAAATCATCACATGGTACTACCTGCCTGCAATCCAACACATTTTCTGGTTGAACTGGAGCTCCACGTCATCAGCTAAGGCCAGGGCAAGAGGTTGAACAAACTGTGGTGCGCTGACTGCCTCCTTGAGGAGGGGCACACAAAAAACTGGGTGAATTCTGCGATCCTCCACTAAATCCAGCTTATGTGTCTCTTGACCTATTCTTTACATTACATGAAAAAGACCACAATAATGAGGACTGAGATTTTTTATCTGGTCTTCTGTCTTCCGTCTGGAGAGCATGTCTTAGAGGGTTGCAAATTAGAAAATCCCAAACTCACCACGTACTCCAGACATCTGCTATACTCATGAACTTGCATTCTCATTCTGCCCTAGGCCTTTAACAAATGCTGCCTTAAATCATTTAGCAGCCCATCATGTTGCCGAGTCAACTTGTTAACCTCTTTTTCCAACTTTGAAGGATTGGTTGTCTCCTTCAACCAGGGTAGAGCTTGTCTCCTTGACAGCTGCATCAGCTCCAAAATATCAGCAATCCCTACCATGTTAACTACAAAGAGTGGAACTCCTCTACTCTTCTCTGTGCTCTATTTTCTTTAATACACAGCGTGGACAAGGTGCTGTGGAACTTGTTTCTACCGTTCTACCTGCTGAACTAGGTGTTTCAGCCTCAGCATTGCAAAAGGAGACTTAGTGAAAACTCCTAAAAGGCACATATTTTGCAATCCTCCCAAGCTAATTTTGGGTTGCAAGATTGCCACCATTGGAACCAAGCAACCATCCTTCCAAAGAACCCCCAATCTTCTGCATCATTTCTTCCATCATAGTTTCCAACTTTCACCATGTCTCTCAGGATCTTGGTTCTTATTTTCAACATTTTTTCCATAGTTTCCAGTCTTCCCTACATTTTTTTTTGCCCACCATTGAATTCCTTGACCAATCCCTATCAATTCGAGATATTCACAGCTCCAAGATCTGAGCTTTGGTACTAGTTGATACACTTGGCACCCAGAATTAATAGAATTCACGTAACAGTACAGGGGAAAAAGAAAGCTGTTATTTTGTAATAGTGACTTCTGGGAATCCCAGAGTGTCAGTCCTTTCCTCCTCAACAATGAGTTTTTGTTAAAAATTACTACTTCGGTATCTACCCTGCTATTGATAGAAATTAACTTCCTAACTACCTAATTGGCCCATGTAGTCTAACTAATTGACTTTGAGGATCAGTTGAGTTTTTTCTTATTCCTTATGCTTGTTGATGTGAAGTTTAGAATGAGTAGCAAGTTTGAAATGGAAATTTATACCCACTGATTACTTTCTTTTACAATAAGACTCAGGGATACTTAACATACAAAAATACCCGACTTTATATAAAATGTGTTTTTGGACCATTGATGTTACTAATAAATGAAGTTCAGTCGGCTCATGTTATTGTGGTGATAATATATTATAGAATACTTAATTCTGGCAACTGATAGGAAAAATAATTCCCAGTTAGGATAAAAAATTGCTCAATTTTTAGTAACAATTTAACAAAACAAATGTTTTGGAATTTAAAATGGAGCTATCAATGGGTTATTCATCGATGTAAATCAGTTGTTCCCCTAAAATCAATGAAGGCCAGCTCCTTGAAAGAATAGAAAAATGCAGAAAATTTAAGATAGGTTTAGGGCTGTGTAGGTACACAGACCCTCTAGCCCAAGTACATTCCTTTTCCTCTCAATTCCTGTCTACCATACTCTCACTTTTTCTCTACTTTTAATTATCATGGCAAAATTCGCATGCTCTCCCCACTTCTCCCTATCTCATGGAAATTATGTTATATTTGTTACCATTTCCTTGAGCCACCTTAGTGTGCTTTTGTGTTCTATACGCAGGCATTCTTATTTAGTCACTTGTCTAGTTGTATTTCATGTGAAAGTTCAAATGAATTCCATGTGGGAAGAATAATTTCAAAATGTTTTTAATGTAGAAATTTCAGATTAAATAGGCATGTAAAGAAATATTTCAATCATGATTTTAAATGTTTAATTTGCAAATAATATATATTGTCTCATGCCTTTGAATAAGTAGAGTTTTGTTTTGATGTTGAACATTTTGTTGTGGCATCACATTTTCAGTGGATTTGGTGAAAGAGGGCTCTACTGTGATCCTTCGTAATGCGAAAATTGACATGTTCAAAGGATCAATGCGACTTGCTGTGGACAAGTGGGGCCGTGTTGAAGTCACAGATGCTGCTAGTTTCACTGTGAAGGAAGATAATAACTTGTCTCTTATTGAGTACGAACTGGTGAATGTTGTTGTGGAATAACTTGTTTTGGAAATTGTGGAACTTCTACTTAGAATAAAAACAAATCAAGTTTTTCTATGGGACATCTCAGCATGGCCATCACATTCACCTCAGTTTTCGATTTGAGAAGCCAGTACAGTACCAACACTGCATCTTACTGTTGCAACTTCTTGTAGCTTCAACCATTGAACAAACGGTTACTGTTAGTGCAAAAAGAATATGAGAATTGGCTTCCAGATCATGCTTTTTGTTATGCTATCTGTTGACAATTTTGGATTATGTATCAGAATATTATACATGGCAGGTGAATGTTTATATTTTCTGTAGCCTTCGTTTAGTCTCAATCTTTATCGTTCTAGCCTCTGAATTCTTGCTCCAAGAAGTATATCTGGGATCTTACTGCAATATCATCAATTAATTTTTAATTTCTTTTACTGTTATTTCAAAATGGCAGGAGATAATTCTTTGAAAAGAGAATCTTGGATGCAAACTTCCTGCTTGAAAATTTATTTTTAGGTGCATTTGAGTTTTTGTTTCAATATTTATTTCAATTTCATACCTTGGAAGGCAAGAAAACCAGAGGAAGGGAAAAGATAGCTAGAGATACAAGTTATCGAAAGACTTATCCTTTAACATGCAAACGAAGGAGACAAGCTAAGACTTCTCTTTTTAATTTGGAGAGAAAATAACAATACAGTTTAATGGATAAAAGTATGTTTATTAATTGCATCTCTTGGTTTATTTGTGTCATTCTATATTCATAATTAAACAACCTCAAAATTCATCTTTCTTTCTTAAATCAAACAAAACATCAGTGTTCAAAATTTTGTTTAAAATTTAAATAAATACTAGAGTTTTACATCATTTGGCACACATGGGCAAGTATTAAGGATGCAGTAATACTCTAATGGTTCAGCATTATCTGATGTATTTGTTATTTTTACACCACTCTGCTAATTTTTCAAGAAATGTGCAGTGTAGGTATATCAAATAATGCTAAAGAGTGCATAGCTTGAGGAGTATATTGTCAATAAGATTATCATTCGTAGAAATGTTGACGCCATGGCTAATCTGCATTAGGAATTTTAGACTACCTAGTGATGAAACCTATCTAATATGATATACACATCATTGGCAGTTTCTTCCTACACTTCATCAAATTTCTCCTTCCATTCGATTATTTTGAATTTTATTTTCTGAAACACTAAATTTCGGAAACAATTTTTTTAAACACTCACCACTTTTACTCCTAAAAAATATTTTCAGAATTGATTTAGTGCATTCCGAAAAATAAAATTCGGAACGATGAAGTGCATGAAGAGATTTGATAGGATGCATAAAGAAATTGCACATATCATTTTGGAACTTGTGGTTGTTGAAAGCCCTCTCCTTTTTTTGACTTCTTATTTTCTCTTCATTTCTTCATGGATTTTAGCTTTCAACATGTTATAAGTAGTTGATTTTTTTCGTGTAGTTACAAATTGGTGAGAGTGGAAAATCCACACATTTTAAGTCATTTTCTTTATTTAGATATAATAATTCTTAAAATGACAATTGTTTTTTTAAACTTTTTTGAGTTCCACAATATAATTTTTAAAATTTTGTTCTTTGATGTTAGTACTTGAAGTGTAATATGGATGGATGTTTGGTGAAGTTTAATCTAATGTATTCATTATATTAAAAAACCTATTTGCTGCATTATTAATATTTGAGTTTTAACTAGTTTTTCTGGTTTTTGTAAACACTTCAACATTTTAGTTATTATGTCTATTAATTTGAGATTCCTTCATTCATAGCATCCAATTGTATCCAACAATGAAAAAAAATCATATTAGTAAGAATCAGATTTGATTGTTCTGAAGTAAAGAAAAATAAAATAAATAACAAAAAAAAAGATTAATAGTTAAGATTTCAAAACATTTATAATTTATTATGCCTACAATTATTTTTCATGAATAACTTACATTACTTTCTAAGAAGTTCCTCCCATCCATGGAATCAGGTTCAGAAAGAAAATCAAAGTAGGAAGGCTAAACTGATATATAAAGTCATTGATACATCAGCCAAAATGAAAATAAATAACAAATGTATTATTCATAACAGAGATGATGATAATGATACTTTGGTGGAAATCAAAATCAGTTTACTAGTTACTACTATTACTACCTCACAGACCATTATTCTTTCTGAATGTCTGAATCTTTTCTAATGGAAACCCTCAGCAAAAGTGTACATATAGTGCAGCTTTGCAGTGAATTTTTTACTGGATTTTTCAGTGCTGTTCTTATGTTTAGTCTTTAAAATACACTTATTTTGATGTTTTAAAATAAACTAAAAAAGAATTAATATATATTAATATCAGCGTATTTTTTATTTTCTGCAAAAGAACAGCACTGAAAAAAAAACAGCAAAGAATCTAGACTCACTGCTGAAAAGAAAAATCTTAAATAGATATAGAGGGCAAAAGCTTGTAGTTCAAATCCCAGAGTTCAAAAGTGCCATTAACGAAATCATAATGTGCTCCTTTCAAAGCTAGAGATTTGTTCTCCACACCAGCTCTAACAAAAGGATAACTTAACAGATTCCCCAGTGACACATTCACAGCTTCCTGCATTGGAAATTACAAGTAAAGACTATTAAAATTTTTAAAAGTGACCCTAAATTTAATGATAAATAGAGACAGTTAAAAAAATAAAATAAGATTTAAGTGGGAAAGGAAGGATATTTAACAAGAAAAGAAATAAGTAGAAAGACAAATTACTTTTTGTACAAGTCATTTTCTTATTTTACTTTCAATTATATTTTAAAATAAAATATTAGTTTTGGTATATATATTTCATTGTCCCAAGTTGGACGTAACAAAAAAAATTTTCTAGTGTATACTTCATTGTCCGAGTAACATAACAAAGAAAATCATTACAAAAAATGTACATAATACCTAACAAACCTTTTTCAGCCTAAATAATCCCACCAATACACCAAACATAAAATAAAGGGTGACTTGACTACCAACATAAACATATTAAATAAATAAAAAAAGAAAAGACGAAAATATATATTTTATTTTAAATATATAAAATTAAAATTAATATAACCATGAAATTCTAACTCGTTAAAATAAGATAATGTATAAAAAACATAATATCTATATTTCTGCCAATTATAATAAAATAAAATATACCTATAGTTATGAATGCATAATTAATTATTTTATAAAGAAACATTTAAAATGACTTATTCTAATGTAAGGATAATTTACTTACCTTCTCACAGTTAGTGCACTGCTCTTCGAAGCTTAATGCACTTGTTTCTGTTTTAATCTTGGACCTTGCTGGTGTACATATTTGGACCCATTGCTCTATGAATTCACTGAAACATTACAGAGGAAAGAAACGATTTTTAAGGTTATGTTGTCATTTTTTTCTGATGTCACAAAAGATAATAGTTTTGTTCACCAAAATCACTGTGCAGTGATATAATATATTCGTGAGAAGAATCTTGTATGCAAGAATCCAACAACTAGTTAGAGAGGATTTACACTTAAATTCATAAAAAATGGAATCATTCATGTAATATTTTTTTTCTCCTTTCTCATGAATATGCATTGTGATTTGACATGAAAAGTCAGGGGAGCAGTAAAATAAGAAATGCTTCTGCAAGCTATATATAATGTTGGATTATAATTTGTTCTTGGTATATACCCAGCAACATTTCAAAAAGGTTGTTTTTATCTCGATTTGTTAAGCCTTTTCCAATTGTCTCCAATAAGGTAGAATCAACAACAAGGAAAGAATGGTGTACATCACTTTATATTCACTGTTATAAATGGTGGGATATCAATCATGATTCTACTCAAGTACTAAGCATTTGGAGTAATGCTTTTTACACATTAAATTCTATTTAAAAGTATATGTATCAGAGAAAAAGATACGAGTTTAAGAAGAAAAAGAAGTGATAAAATAAGTGATTTGATGAAAAAAATATTAACCAAATTGTATTCATATTAAATTATTCTAAAAATATATATTTTACTATAACCTTATATTCTTTCAAGCATATATTTGAAAAAACAATAGTAATCACATACTTGGAAGTTCTGAAAAATTACATAGCTTCACAGTTTAAATTAATTTCATGGTGTGTGTAGCTATTATTCATCCTTCTGGCAAAGTTGTTCAGGACAAAATTTATATACACTTTTTTATGTGCTCTTGGAAATTTTGATTAAAAATGAGCTAAACGAACTGTTGTGAAACAGCATATAAGGTTTATCCAATTATTATTCATTCCTTCTTTTAAGATCCATTAACAATGAGTTAAATCCCTTTTAAGGATGTTCCAAAGAAATCCTAGTAGTAGTCAAAATGTACGAAACTTGCCTTGCAGTGGTCCCATCATCTGGGATAGACATGAGCCCCTTTATACCACCACAGCAACTGTGTCCAATAACTACAATATTCTCCACCTGTATGTTACAATACCCATATTAGAATCTAAAAAAGACAACAAGAATTTGCAAAAAATCATATTCCCGTTTTAGTAAGAGACATATATAT